TTCTTTTTTAATAAATCTGCAAAAATGTCAAAAATTCTGTGTTTTTCTGTCAATATGGGGTGCTGTGTGTACATTAATGAGGAAAAAAATGAACTTAAATGATTTTAGCATATGGCTGCAATATAACAAAGAGTGAAAAATTTAAGGGGGTCTGAATACTTTCCGTACCCACTGTACATAAAAGGTAAATGAACTAGAAAACTAAAAAAGCTTCAGCGGCTCATTGTGGTAGTATCTTCCACAGTGTGCTTTTGCAGTATGTAAAACTGCATATGAGGCAAACATCAAGACAATGATTTTTTTTTTATGTGACTAAACTCTGTTGGTTCGTCTGAGATAACTAAAGCATGTTTCTCAAATCTTTTACCAACATCAAGATATAATGTGCTTGTTATGTTATTGTGTAGCCTTAAAAAAGCAAATGGGTTGTTTAAGTGAGAATTTAAATTTAGAAAATGCACCTTTAAATTGCTTGATGACAATCACACAACAGTGACACCTAATGTGAGTAACTGTCCCTTAGCTCACCAGTCAATTGTTGCCACTTGTGTTGTTTGCTGCGGACAGTTTTTCCCTGTGTCGACACAGCCTGTAATGGGCTCTAGGCAGTATTTACTACATGACCAATCAACCTTGCTTATCTGTTTAATAGTGCTGTAAGCTTACCATACAACTAAAAGCATGCATTTTCTTTACTGGTTATCATGGACATGGGCTGCATATAAACAGTTTCTAATAAAAATTCAGTATGTCCAATAACAGCATGTCTGCAAAACAAGACAAGTCCGCAAACAAATGGAAAAAAGGCGGAGTGAGTCATCTGCAATTCACTTTCAAGATGAAAAAGTGATGTGATTTAGTCTGGGAACTGGGAGGATGATTTCTTTTCCTCTCTCAGACAGAAAAAAATCACCCTGCAAACCTCAGGGAACTCAGCAAAGTGTGACTAAGCACCAAACAAATGAGGAAAGGCTTGCACTGAGCAGCCAATCCTAAAACACAGACTGTTAACATTCAGCAACATAATGGTGCAGCAGACATAAATATTGTTAGAAGTAATCCGTTGGATTCTTTTTGCCATCTTCAGTGCTATAGTGGGCTCAATGCTGAGCTATTTTGTACCAAACTTGCAGAAAACAGAAATCAGTGTTTGGAAATGCTATGGCTAAAAGAAAAAAATTAAATGGCTGCTACCTAATGCATAGATAGGAAGCTTTGGGAAAAGGTTAATTAAGACCGCAATGCCTAAAATAACAGAATTAGATATGCACGCATGCTAACAAGGATTGCTGACAAAAGGCCTGCTTTGACCGCAGGTGTGTGTTCGCTTAGCAAGTCAGACAGATGGGTCAGCAGTTAAGGAGGCTGTATTTAAGAAGACAGGCATGAAGCACGGCAAAACTCACTCTCCTTTTCTCTGTTGTGTGCTGGCAGCCTCCAAATGGTGACAAATTCAATATAGAGCCCCATCTTTCACTGTCCTGTTTGGTGCTGACAAAACGGGGCTTGGTAGGGGAAGGGCAAGAGAGGGAGGAGAGAGTCAAACAAATTAATAGATGAATGCTTGAGCCAAAGGCAGAAGGTGAAAGATGGGGGTGAGCAAGTGTTAAGATCCTTCATTACCGCCAAGTAGGGATGTGACGAGATCTCGTGATATTAAAACGTGGCAATATTTCTCGTTGAGGCAAAAGCTATCTCGCAATATCAGTACATAACAGAACCAGAGCAGAGTGTGATGGCAAAGTGAAGTACGTTCACAATCTGGAAAAAAAACACAACTCCCTGCTGTGTTTTAATGCACAGGGCTGTGTTGGTAAGGGGGTGAGAGGTTGCAGGGGGAGTGTTGTAGGCGTGTACAATATGGCCAACACGAGTGGCTTGATGATGTCACCGTCGTGTGGGGTGAGGCGAGGGTGAAAATAGCACAGAAGGACACACGCAGCTTCAGTCAGAAGTTCACGCATATTTATAAAGGTATTTACTTTACTTCTTGGACCAACATATTAATGTGGATAAGCAGAACAATGAAAAACAACTCATAAGCCATGTGCCATTTCTACCACACTCAGTGAGGCCTTCAGCCTACCTCCTTGTTCAGAATTATTTATGGTAAGGAAGCCTGAATGAGTTTGGGGTTTTTGTTATGGACATAGTACTGGAACAGATTTTAAGCTGCACTGTTAATGAGACAATGTCTGTAACCACTATGCTATCACACCAACCAGAGAATAACACTGTCTGAGTGAGAGACAGAAAGAACGGGGGAGAAAGATGGGACTGGCAGGAACAGCCTGCCTTATTGGCCAAGCTGTTCTCTTTCACTTTCCTCTGTGTGCGGTGTTGCACTGTCGATTTGTCAACTCGGTTTAGCAGTGCAGAATGGACCACCCTTCTTTATCAGACTGTGTAGCAAGATGCTCCCTGGAGCACTGGGTTGAGAGGAGGGAGGACTGCTGGAGCCTGGACTACTGGTTCTTAAATTACAAGTGGCCACACGGGTAAAGTAGGAAGGCCGAAAATGAGAAAGACCAAGAAGAAGGGAGATGTACTCCTGCAAAATGGCACCTCATAAATCTGACATGCAGCCAAGTAGAGAGAAAGCAGGAGGAAAGGGCACGCACGCGCACGCACACACACACACACAAGCAGTAACACACAAGAAAAGCGAGGAAGGACTGAACAAGAAAATGAAGTGGAATGTAAAGGAAAGAGACAAGGGGGGAGGTTCTTACAAAGGACATTATAGTTGGGCTCCCGTCCACATCCAACCCATGCCCTGATAATTTCATGCTCAGCAGCCCACAGGCAAAGAGGCAGTTTGCGTCAATGGAAGGATGCGAGGGTGCGGTTAGTGTCGGTAACAGATGGTGCGCAGCAGAGAACCAGGCGCTGCTTTTATATTTTGATATGATCTATTACTTCATCCCTTCAGAGAAGCAAACAGCCAGAGCAAGAAAACTGCAAAGTTGCTGCTGAATCACACATCGGATCAAACCTCCTCAAGTGGAGTGTCCTGCATTTGCCTCAAGAGTGTTTGTGTGATCATGACGATGTTGGAGGAGCATTAGGGGAAGGTTTCCATATGTGTTCTTTTACTTTGAAATTTCACAAGCAGAAGCTAGTGTTGCTACTGACAACTGCCAGAATTTAGAGATGATACTTAAATGTTCAAGTTTTGGCCCTGATCCCAATCAATTTGCCTATACCACGTTAAAACTGGTACTTAGCTGCACAGTGCCCACACTGACTTGAGTAGTCCTACACTCAAATTATTAACACACCAATGTTACAAGTAAGTATCCTTAATGCCTTGAGGCTTTTCCTTTATACTTTTCCAGATCATTGCAAAAGATTATCAAAAGAAAAACTGCAACAAAAGACTTTTCACATGTGCAAGAATGCCTTTCAGATTTTACTACATACATTTTAACACTGTTGTCTCCATCTTGCCTTACCAGGGTAGCCATCTTGCCGTAGTCCACCCAACGCAGGGTGGCAAAGTTTGTGGACTCTGCACAGTTGAAGCCATGGTTGAATCCGGCATGGTAGCCATAAGGAAAGGTTATCATAAACTCCCCTTCATTTTGAGTTATCTGTTCACAGAAAGCCAAAAAAACACAAAAAAAGAAACAGATTTACAAATTTAGGGGTATAACATACTGCAATGCTAAAAAAGAAAGCTGCAATTACCACCCCTGTTTCCATGAACCTAATTCCAGCTGAACCCCCATCAAATTCACCTGGGGAAAAAAATCCCTGGCCAAATTTATGGGTCCACTGCAGCATCAAACCCAAGACAGAAAACTCTGCACAGTAACTGGCTGAATAAAAACAAATCACTGTGGTGCAGTGGTAAGCACTATGACTTCACAGAGAAGGTTCTGGGTTCGAACCTCACAGCCAACTGGAACCTTTCTGTGTAGAGCTGCATGCTCTCCTAGAGCCTGTGTAGGTATCCTCCAATTACTTCAGCTTCCTCCCACAGTCCAAAGACATACAGGTTAGATTAACTGGTGACTCTGTCTCTATGGGTCAGGCCTGTGGCCAAGCTGCTTTTTTGCACACATCAGCTTTCTTTTTTCTTCTACTTAAGAAGTTGTAGTTAAAATGCTAAAATGATAAAATTCTCTATGTGCATGCAGGCCCTTTGCGTTTTTCAGATTTATGATCTATTAATTACTTCCATCTGTGGCTCTGTGATTTTTAAGAAGAAGCGGAGAGTTCAGTTCCTTAGTATCAACTTTTCTCAAAACTTTTCTGACTTGCAGGCAAAGCTAATTCAGCCTAACATGACTGCTGCTCTGAGAGTTTAATGTCTTCCCATCCTCAGTCTGAGGATGTTTAAAAATGTGAGGACAAGTTAAGCACATTCTTTTTTTAATGCATTGCTCCAAAACCTAAGCCCTATATATCTGGTTGTGGAGCTCAACTTCTTTGTGAAACCTGGATCCAGGCAATCAAGAGACACATCAAGTCAGACAAGGTGAGAGGAATGAGCAGAAAAACACGGGTAGAGGCTGAGAGCAGGATATAAACTTCCTGAACTAATGCCAGTGGTGCAGATAGCAAACATCTTTTTGCTCTTGCAAAAATGAAAGAAGACAGTTTTATTTTTACACATGAATCAAGAGAGGTACTGTAGGTGTGTAACAGGTAACATGTTCACTGTGATAATGACATCCTGGGGGGGTGTAAAGATTGATTAAAAGGGATGGGTGAGGGGAAACTCTTTGGTGCCTGATCTGTACCAGTTTTTAATTCAATTTGCTATTAATTTTTGCTCTTTGTGATGCTTCATCATGCTTGCTGAATAGAACAAAACAGAAAGGTAAAAAAAGCCAACTAATTTCCTAAAACAGATACAAGACGAGATCATTACTCATACTGTATTATTATTATTATTATTACAGCCCATAATAAATGTGATATTTGCGTCAAAGCTGAGCCACTATGTTGTCATCAATCATTCAAAATAAACCCACTTCTGCATATCACGCAAGGCCCACTTCTATTATCACAGCATACGGGGTGCAGAGCATGCGATTTCAATTCTCTTTTTCAAACAATATATATTTTTATACTGGAAAATGTGCAAGATAATTTTATCACTTGCTCATTTAAGTATTAAGACAGACACTTGGATTAGCAGTCAACATTGCCTGGGATAACACTGAATGATGAGTAATGATGTGTCAACACATTTTAAGGTAGGAAAGTGACTCTAGCTTTATGCACTGTACTGGCTGAAGAGACAACAGCTTCTAACAACAACACAAAGAATGTTATTTGTACTGAGACCAAACTGAACCTTATCTTCTCATGGGGACCAGTAAAATGTTTAATTATGTCATGCAGCATGGACCAGTTGCCACTCACCCTGTCGAATGGAATTCCGTATTTCTTTAGAATGGATGGAGATATCAGCGTCATCTTGTGGCGAAGGAAAGCATCACAGCCTTGGGAACTGCCAGGGAAGAAGCCTGTAGAGGGTGATAGTGAGCACAGTGGGCATTCAGGGCGTTTCACTGACGATCCAGATATACAGTTTATGAGAGAAACTCAAATTATCTGATAAAACCATGAATAACTACAACAATACCAGAGGCACCAGCAAGGCATGAGGACACATCTATAAATATATTCTGTAATGCAATAACCTGATTATTATCAAATACTGTTTATCAAACAAACAGCTTGCTTCAAATAAAATTGTAGCAGTTGTCCCTGAAAGCCTTTAATAATCCTAACTGCCTGGTCCCACAATCCACTGGTGTAATGATACTCAGCCCTGTGGCTGCTGCCTGATAAATGGCACAGGTGAACACCTATGCCTGCGCCTGGGTAAAGCAGGCATTCTGAAGATGACTTTTAATGACAGAAGTTCCTGAATCTTGTTGTGTCTCCAGTTAGATATTTTTGTTAGCATCTTCACTGTAAATGACCAAATGACAATTTTTCCTTTACCATTGGGTGCTTGTATTCTTTCTTTTGCACCAGTCACATGATGCCATCAACACTCACTAGCTCAGTGTGAATACTCTGGACTATGAGATGCTCTATTCTCACATGGGCTCACTGCGGCTCCCTCAGGTTTTACACAGGCTTTGTACTAGGGAGCTGGGTAAAGTCCACTTAATGCCTGGGTCAGCTAGCTTGGACATTTGTGTTCTCACATACAGGTCCTCTGGGTAATGTCTACATAATTTCAGAGTTTCAGCACATGTCTGAAAAGGGTTTTTGATAGACTGTTATAAAAAAAAAAAAAAAAAAAAAAAAGGATATTCCACTTATTCTAAGTCTAGTACTTAGAATTTTGGTCTGATGTGGAACACTCACACAGGGCCTTTCTCTGAGACTGAATATTTTTGTGCAAAAATTAACAAACCTAAATTTGTTTTTACCACAATAGTCTTGAATACTTACTGTAAGGCAAAATAATCATGTCTACATTTACATGCTGCATCAGTCTAATTACTATCAGTTAATTTGCTGTAATTATCAGTAATTGTATTAGACTACAATGCTATGGCTACTTAGTTTAAAATTTTGATGAATAATGTTTTATATTGGTATAATGCAGATCTAAGAGTTTTTGGCAGTTTTAGAAGAGGGCTTATTTGGAAGGTAAGAATTTGAAGAATGCCATACAAATACTGCCAATTAAACGGGTTGCTCCAGCAGAATGTAGCTGTGTTGATTATATGATTGTTAATTCCCTAACTTGGAAAAGGAAATCTGACTCCACTGACATGGATGTAAATTAATTTACTGCCTAAAGTGTAGAATAATCACATTAACGCTGTGCATGTAAGTACATTCTTTGTGCGCTTCCAGGTTGGATTTCAGGGGGAAACCTGATGGGTTGCATTATGGCACAAAGGAAGGCACAAAACAAACTGGGTGCTTTTACTTTTCTCTTATCCCAGTCAGTGCAACCAAAGAGAAAACATTTGGCTGAAGAATATCTGCTTTGCAGTTGTGAAACAAATGTGTGTATTGGAACTGTGCTAACTGTAAGAAGCTGCAGCACTAACGATGTTGAAAGACAAAAACTACTATTTATTTTATGCATGGTCTTATTTGTGTAGTGAGATAATTAGCCCAAGAACAATATAACAATATAATGTAGCCTAATCTTTTAATTGCTGATGGCTCTGCCCCTAAGGTTGCTAATAAAACAATTTGCAGTGGCAGTATTTTACAAGACCACTAAAGCTGTGCATTGTGCAAACTAGGGCTGCATATCGATACTGATCTCTCAGTTTGATTTCAGTTTCAATTCTTAGAATGTGTATCCAGTTTGTTTGCCCTGATTGTTTCTGCAAGATGTATCCAAGACCATCTCAACAGTATTTGTACCAGAAGGTAGGACGGGTCGTCTCCTAACCGAAAGATTAGCAACTCGATTCCCGGCTTGTCTAGTCCACATGTCGAAGTGTCCTTGAGCAAGACACTGAACCCCCAGTTCACATTTCACTAATTTCACTGGCAAATATAGCAAGCTATTTATTATCTGTGTTATTTTTCAACTTTGATTAACCTCATTGTGCTTTTTGTAACGACTCAGACATTTTTTTTTAAAAGCACATCAAGCAGCCCAAACGGAACTATTTATAAGTAACCACTGCATACATGTATCATTTAGCACAGATTTTTGTTTAATAAGAAAAGACTCAAAAATCAATCTTGGGAATTTATACTAAATAGTTCAAATAAGGACTGCAATTAGTTGGAAAATCAATATTTTTATTGCAAACATGTGACTGCAATTACTACTAATATAATAAACAAAAGGCAAACTTACACAGCTACTGAAACTGCAGTGTTACCTTATTTATTACAAAGCCATACCACCTACTTGAAAACACAGACTGCGTTGAGATGGTAACATAGGCTAATCCTCTGAAATTTTGGGTTTTCAAAGCCCCAACTCTCTCTCTCAGACTCAATTTTACTCTTAGAGACAAAGAGACCCAGACGGCCTCTGCATAATCAAAAGCAAGAATTCCTCCTCCATCACTCACTCTCCCAATGTTTACTGTCTGTAACCACTAGTGCCTCAAAGGGGGCTCCATCCAAGCCTCCACCCAGTTAAACTTTAATGTGACTGATAGTATAATTGGCACACACTTCATCCTTCATTTTCACTGCATTGTTTCAGCCTCTGTTTCACCCTACAAAGCGTAAGAGGGAGAGAGGGCCTCTATTCTCTCATCGCCTGCCTGCTTGTTGGAGCTGATAAAGGTGAATAATGTGCCGACAGAGTCTGGGTATTAATCCCCATTAAAATGCAGCTGGCTCTCTGAGCTCTCCGCAGGGTAATATTAACTTAAAGTCTTCATTCAATCCTTTTGAGTTTGGAAATTAAGTTCCTGCCTCCAACCCTGCACCCTCCCCTCCCATTCCATCCCCACACCACAAAAAGTCTGAAGCCATGACGGAAATAATGCGGAGATGAGGAGTGATAAGTGCAGCAGCTATCGCTGTGTCAAATGTTCAGAGAGGGGTTTTCAAGTAACAAGACCATTGTCCTAGCCCCATTAGGCATTCCTATTACACTCATAACAGTCTTTATAGGACCTCGTAAACAGTTGGCCGCCTGTGCTGACGATGGATTTGATAGGTCAGCGGGTGCTTGTTAAATAACATTGGCACTGTTTTCCTCCCACCGCCACCTGCTTGCATACGAACAGAGGAAGGCTGCAATGTGACTGTGACTGAGAGCTGAATACTGACATGAAGAATGATAAGGAATGCATGTATTTCAGGATTAGATAAGGTTGGGTTTTATAGCATTTTATCAAAGCTATGATTCCAGTATTGAATTCACTTATCTTATCTAAACACCTCTGAATTCCTTATCAAATCTCATTGAAAATCATCATAGGCATAGCAGCAAACGTGATATCAAGTCAATGTCTCAATTTACTGGCAAATCCACATGAAACTGAGTCACAGTTAACTGCATGCTATGAGTTGCACCTGTGATTCCCTGCTTTTCATATACAGTATTTCATGCCACAGTCTTGAACGACTAATGTAGTTACATATGAAGTATAGCTTATCTCTGACAATCAAAATAGCACATTTTAACGTAAATTGAACTAATTCAGGTGTTTCATGTTACAGGGACAGCGCTGTTTATTTCCTTTTTTTGTTGTTGATTGAGGTCAGAACGTGGGATATCAAAGTTTGTCAACCAGTGAATACATGTGAAACATTTTCTGTGCATGGCTCACAGCATGCACACTCTGTTCACTATGAGTACCATGTCAGTCGAACAAGAAACTGCAGAAAGGTCATTTATTGCGAGTATTAAAGGGTTCTTAGTAGTGTTGTGTATGTTGTGTTTAAGCAGAATGAGGCAAGGGAGAGATGGAGGGAGAACCAATAAATGTGCTTAGACTGCGTGCTAGGGTGTACTCTGTGCAGGCAGCATGTGTATGGTTTTATGGTGTGTGCTGAACAGAATGAAGCACTTGCTCCATCACTTATATTGACAACATAAAGAAACAAAACCAAGACAGGGTGTGTGTTGAAAGCATCGTCAGGGTCTCACCTTGTGCGAGCCTCTCCAGCCTTTTGCCGTGCTCAGGTGGGACGGCATACCTGCAGACAGGTTAGAAACAAGGTGATCAGTTTAGTGAATGATTAGCCTATTATTACAGGTTTGTTACCAGCTTCTTGCCAAAAGGGCACATGTTTAAAAACCACAGCACCATCATTAAAACAAGCTGTATCACACCTTGTTCTCTAACCTGTTTAGTTGCATTTGCTAAACCTTTCTCAAATATTCCTAGTAAGTAAGTAAAACTGCTGAATATGAACACTGCTATTATTTCTCTTATGCATTTTCTCCTTAGAACCCACACCAAGCAATACTTAAGAGTCTTCCCATGAAGGTAGAGGCAGCACAATAGTACATGAAATCAATGCAAAGACACAAGCAGTCATAAATTTATGCTAGGCATGGAAACTGAGGCAAAGATGCATCTTTGTTCTGACTCAAGCTAAAAGCTACAGCTCATGTCTCTATATTCTCTAAATTTGCTGTTTTGGACAAAAAAAAAAAAAAAAAAAACAAATCAGTACAGTGATCAGGTTTGCATGAATAACAAGGAAACAAATCTCTTACTCAGAACAAATTCTCTTAAGAATTAAAGCTGACATAACACTATCAATCACAAAAAACTGCACTAAACAATAATGTAGAACAACTTATAAATTAAGGGGAGAAGAAGAGCAAACAGGAAGAGTGGTGAAAAGATAAAATGATCAATGAAGGGCAGGACTTTAGGCCTTAGCACTTAACCATTTTAAAAATTGAAATTAGCCATGGCATACACCCTGTTGTCAGTTCTACTTTGCTACTCTTTTCTTACTGTATACAGCAGCCCTATGGCCCTGGTTCTATGTTCCACCATAGGTAGAATGAGGTATGAATATTACCTTGAAGTGTTTGTACTGTTAATATACAAGGTGGGCACCGGCAGAGTAGAATATTTATCATTAGACAAATGTCAAATGCTACATTTAGAAAACATGTTTATTTGTAAAACTAAGTGGGAGGAGGTCATCAACGCTCAAATCAGTTCATTTGTGAAGTTATTACAACACTGTTTATTACTGCAATTATTTGCTCTGGATTCTCAAAGCCTCCAGGGGTGGGGTGGTGGGGGCTATTGAACACATCCACACCTCTCCTTTCTTGCTCAAGCCTCAACAACCACATGGATATTTGAAACGAAGAAGAAGAAGAAGAAGAAGGAGGAGAAAATGAGAACGAAAGAAAAAGCCTGAGAAATGGTGAGAGGCTACAACACTTAAGGAGACAGAAAGAGGATGAGTATAAGCACAAGACAGAGAGAGGGGGGGCAGAGAGATAAAAATAATACACAGAAAGAAAGTAAAAGCCAAAGTCAGTTTCAGTCATAGGAGCCAAGACATGATGCCACACTGCCACCTGTAGGTGAAAGCTTAGAACTTCAGAGAGAGCCTGGATTCACACAGCTCTTCAACGCTGGAGGCTTGTGACCAAAGTCCTTCATGCCATTAGAGGGCAAGGGACATGCACTGAAATTTAGAGTTATAATTGGTCTATGTCAGTGAATAGACTTATAGTTAACTACACTCTGCATCCTTGCCATGGTTTTAAGACCATATTCTCTTTGTCTGAAGTTTTAATTTGTGCATTTTATGCTTGAAGATAAACGATAATGACTAGGACAATAAAATGAGTCGGGTTATAGGATTAAAGCTGTAATTGGTCCTATGGTTTCAAACAACAACAGACAAAGTATGGTTCACTTTCTGGTTCAGAGGTAACTGAAAACTTTGCATATATATCCAACTTTTAGCCTGACCTTGGGTTCTAGGGTTCCATAACCAACTTCACGTTGTAACTGCCATACAGGCATTCTCATGAGCGTGACCAGGTACTCTGACTTTGTCTCCACATGCATCACTGTGCCTTACTTACTTTTTGGATACTGCATCTAAACCTGTCAACTGCCACAATAAATACCATACAAATCACCCTGCTTCATTGTTATTGTCATTTCTGCTGTTGTGTTAACTAAACATCTGCCTCAAAGCTGTTTTGTGTCCTGTAATGTGCACTGTAAGCACTTATTTGTATGAGTAACGTGTACAATTTCTATGGCTATGCAGCTAAAAACAAATTTAACAATGTCTTGAACAAACTAAACTCCCACTGCGACCATCACCGTCATGTTAGGTCTTAGGCTATGTTGGCCCTCAGCCACATCAGGGAGATAAAACAAGGCAGGTGGTTAAGCAATGTGTGTTACAGTGTTTGTGATTATCTAGTCTAGTCTAAACATGTCAGGGATCTACCTCTGTAATGAAGATGAACTGATAATGGTCTCCACATCCAACCCGCATTAAAACAGCAAGTATATTCATTTCCTAAAACATTCAAGTATTTGCCCATGGGAAACATCACGTCTCAGAGTTTACTCTGTAGATGTGCACACGTTTCACAGTAGCCAACACCAGAGAAGATACCTCAGATTACCCCCTCTATCCTAGCATCAAACTAAACAAATCAGCCAGTCAGCGTGTCTCCTCCTTTTCCCTCCTTTTTAAGGCCACTGTTGCCATGGCAGCAACACGTCTGTCACTCCGGCAGCGGAGAGAAAAATACACAAATAAAACAACACACAGCAAATGATGGCTTGAACTTTTCCACTTCTCTGAGGAACAGTATGATTTATGTATGGTGGGACAACACTCCTGGCAGGTGGGATTAAGATGTAATGAGAGCGTGAGAAGTGGCACAGCGTTTTTCAACTTTACAGACATGTACAATTCATGTACATTCTTCTTTTCAGTGAAATGCAGGGCCATATCTTCTAAAAAACAACACTGCTAGATGCACTTAAAAAAAAAAACTTTCTTCTAACACCTGATATATTAGGACCTTTATGTGACAACAGTGTAAATCAATTGTCTTTACAAACACGTTAATTTCAATTTAACTAGCTGTTTCCTAAATCACAGATGAAAGGTGGTTTGTTTTAATGCACCGCAGATAGACAGCACGCTGTGATTCTCTACTGTAGCAGTAGTCGGTAGATAAAATGTCAGTAGAATGGTTTGTCTAAAAATGTATATTTATTTAATCAAAGGGGTGAACAAAGAATGTGAATGTTACTGATTTTCATTAATAAATTGAGCTAGAGACAAAAACCTTTCAGTTATTTCTGTTTCTCTGTCATAACAATCACTGAATTAAATAAGCTTAACAGCTCTTCATAGTTTTCTACATACCTCATTAAAAATATTTTTGTTATGCATATTTCTGCTGGCATATGTATGTGCAACTACACATGTAACAGAGGGGTAAATTTTGACCAGAGGAAAGCTCCTTGCAACAGCTCTCAGAGGGTCTTACTAAAAACAACAACCAGGGAACCTGTAATTGCTGCAAACTCCAAGTCAAAGCCCAGAACTCCTCACTGTCAAACAAGAATGTTACAAAACCACTGGGCTACAGGCGAGGTTTGGGATAAATTCATAATAAACTCCTCCCTTACTAGCAAGTTGCAGTGGGGCTACGCTTTGAAATATCCCTTTCAACTCCTCACATGGTTTGAGGTTAATCTTTTGGCTGACAGCAGATCCACCGGTGTGTGGTGGGGTAGAGGGGTGATTGAGATGGTTTCAGCAATGACAATAACAAGAAAGAGAATGATGTGGGGATAAAAACAGAGAGCAAGTGACTGCTAAAGCAAAGATCTTTTACACATTGTGTGTGTGTGTGTGCTCGTATAGCAATACACTGTGAGGACCAGTCTGAGTTTTATACCATGGGTGTAAGGACATTTTGGCTTCCTGACACACCGTCAAAAAGCAGTTTGAAGATTAAGACTTGGTTTTAGGGTTAAGGGTAGAATTGGGTTTAGGTTGGAGGTAGAGCTGGAGTTAGGCTTTTGGTTATGAGGGGTAAGGTAAGGGGATAGAGAACACACTGTGTCAATGTCCTCACAAAAATAGCTTTACAAACATGTGCGTGCACATCTCACTAACAGTCGTTATGGAGGGGTCTGACATTGATGGAAGCAGAGTTGCAGGGGAAATAGAGTTAATTTCACAAACGGCTGCACTATGAAAGGAGTGAAAGAGAAAGCGAGAGAGTGTGTGTGTTTTAAAGGGGCGTGCTCTGTTTTACAGCCTGTAATTACCCCAACACACGTGTAAAAGATTCCATTTCAGAAAAAAATGAAGGTGGGAAGGCTTGGTGAGCACCTAGAGTCACAGACAATAAAAGGGAAAGAATTAGACAAAAGCAAGAAAAGAGCAGAAGGAAGAAATGCATTTTTAAAAAAAGCTAATGAATGGTGCACATTGATCTGAGAGTGAACCAAGTCTTAAATGATGGGGATTATGGTAAACGCAAAATAAACTGAAGTAGGAAGGCGAAGAAAAGAAGCACAAAAGTAGGGCTGGTTTGCTGTGTCGATGCAGACTCAGGATAATCAGGTGTCATTTAAAAAGCCATACAGGCAGTGTGACATAAACAATATTGACAGTGAGCTGAGCCGCTCTCAGTGAGGGATGTGAAAACAAGACAGACAGATGATTTTAATGAGATCGCATCACAGAGAGC